CAGACCGGCTATGAGTGCTCTGGTTTTGGTTTGGGGATTGCCAGGGACTTCTGTGAGGCCCCCAACCGCTGTAGCTGGCCTAGAGACTGGGTGCGCACACACAGGCCAAAGACCCACTGCGTTGGATGGGGGAGCATCCAGTGTGAATGCCCAGCCTTGGTGTTGGTGTGGCCCCATGCCTGGAGGTCCTGCCAAGTGCCATGCCCTTGGTATTGATGCTGTATCTGGAGGTGTTCTTGTGGTTCAAGAGGAATCCATGCTGCATTCCATAGTGGTTCTTCATCATGGTGCATTATGCGTTCCGCCCACGCCGGAGGCATGGGTTTATTATGCGCCTGTCCATGGTGCCATTTGCAGAGCCAGAGGATGTGCTTCGGTGTAGCTGGGACCTGGCAAATGGGGCATTGCTTGCGTTGGCCAGCTTCTCGAAAATGAATCGCTCCTTGAACCCATGTTTTCAAGTGGGGCTTGAGTTCTGCAGGGAGGCTTCTGATCATTTGTCTGAAAACTTGCCAATCAAGGCCTGTGATGAAGTGTTGATGATGTGGCCGTTGCGCCAACCTGGCTGTTCGCTGGTTGCGAGCTTCCAGCAGCAGGATCTGCTCTACTTTCCACCAAGGGTCTTGGAGGGAGAGCTCGTTCTCCATCAGCAGAGGGGTGGCTTGTCTGGTCCACCTGCTGATGTAATTGTAGGCGCTATCAAGTAAGCCCCGGCATGGTGTTCCAGGTGTGTAGCCATGGCCTGTCTCATGGCTGTTCTGTATCTTGGGGCCAGGCCCTCTTCCTTTGTTTGGCCTTGTTGAAACGTTGTCGAAGGACAGGAATGCGCCTCCGTCTGGCCGCCTGATGGTCCACTCCAAGGTCTCGCATCACCGAAGTCACAGGAGGTTCTTGTGGGGTGAGGAGGTTCTTCAGGGCTTTGTCAGTAGCCTTATCGGTGGCAATGAAAGCCGTCTTCTTGGGGTTGACTCTGAGCCCCAAGTCCACCAGCTTGGCATGGAGGTCTCTGTAGGCGGCAACAGCCTCTTGAGCAACTTGTAGCGGTGTTTGTCCGGCAGTGTCGAAACCAACATCATCAACCCAGCTGGAGAGGTACACCTGGGCATGCTGCTCTTTCCAGGGAATGAGAGCTGGTGCCAGTACTGCTTTCGCCAGGAGTGGTGCCTGTGGACAGCCAGCCGGGACATGTTGTGCTCTGCCATGACCGCTTTTGGTCCGGTTGAGCTTGAGGGCCTCCTTGGAGTTTTCCAAGTTGGATCGTGTCATAGAACGTGGACATGTCCACCAAGACGGTGACTCCATGACGGTTTCTGGCTTTGTGGGCTTCCTGGCGTAGAAGTCGTTCTGAGGCCACATGGAGGACATTGGCACCTGGTCTTGCTCCATGATCCATGGAGATGGGCAACTGTTTTTGCAACTGATCCAGGATCGGCTTTCTGAGTCTACACCATACCCTCCAGAGTACGGATGTGAGGGTGATGGGGCGCTCCATTTTGGTGTTTTTAGGTAGGCTTGTCCCTCCATGGTTTGGTACAACTGGAGCAGTGCGCCCAAGGCCAATGGTGGAGCACTTTTCAAAAGCTGAGTAGAGACTGCATCTGGGCCACTGGCTTTGTCGGGTTCCAAGTAGGTGCTGGGCCTGGGCAGCTCGTTTGGGGGCTGGTTTTCCTGCCTGATGTGCCATAGGTTGCCCCAATCTTGCAGGCGCTGCTCCATCCTCTGTAGCATGGGCGTGTTTCTATACGGTCTCTCCCAGGCCAACTCACTACAGCAATGCAATCAACTTCTTAATGCTGGTGGCATTGGTGTCACTTTGCAAAGTCTCGTTGGTGCGAAGGTAGATGCCAGCCACCAAGATAGTCGTGAAAGCCTCCAGCTCGGTTAAGCCGCTGGAGGGGTCTGCTATCACCAGTAGTCCTCCATGTGTTCCTGAGTTGTCTGGATTGGGCCACGCCGGAGTTCCAAAGACTGTTCTTCCTCGGATGGTAAAGTACTGACAGTGCTCACGGCGCCGCTGTGGATCAAAATGGGTTCAGCAAAAATGAACCCCGGTTCACGAGTCCAGTACCCGTCGATGACCTGCCTTCCCAGGTGTGTGACATTGCCATAGTGCAAAAGGTTGTGATCCTGTGCGTGTCTGGCCCGTTTGTTAGGGCTAGGATAGAGCGGTGGATCATAATCGGGCTTCCCTGGAGGTGGTACTCCTTGAAGCACCTGCTGGGGTGTCTTGAAAGTGACAGCCCAGACCTGAGTGATCTGGCTGGCTAGTTTGGGCGTCAAATGTGGTAGGTGCGTTGGTACCTTGCCATCATCCGCCAACCACATCAGGTCCCTGTACTGTATATGAGGATGGCAAAGTAATGCCCTGCTTGGTGGCTGGGTCCACGATGACAGATCAGAACTGCCGGAACAAATTCTGTTGATGTCCTGGCAAAACCATCAAGCGAGCGCGGCAGGGTGAAGTTGCCGTACGGGTTGAAGGGTTTGTTGCGCTTGGTCATAATGTCATTGACACTGGTGTTCCGGGCGACATGGCATATTAGCACCTTTTTGTCGTCCATCAAGTCTGGCCCATGCCTTGGTTGGCCCAATTGTTGATCAACTCCTGGAACGAGACATCTTCTGGCCAATCATCTGGGTATGGGACCAGTGTTGGATGTTGAGCGAGTTCACGAAGTGGCTTGCGTCACCTTGTACATTCAGATCATGTTGTTTCCAGAGCTCTTGGAGTCCGGGCAGCTGGTGGAGATCCACTGCCTCTGCTATCGAGGGACTCTTGGACTGCCTCTTGCAAAGTGCCCCATGGCTGAGTGCTGGTTTCCTGTAGTAGCGCGCATATCGCGCCATGGAGCATTGGCATAACAGCAAGCACTGGGATTGCCAACGGCCATGGTGAGGTTCTGCAGTAGGCAGTCCGTGGAGGTGGCATAGTCTTGTGGCATGGTTAGGTTGTTTTGAGTGGCAGTGTACTCCGCACTGCTGGTAGCTGCTCCTCCCCAGATTGGAACAAAATCGGGTCCATGACCCGCCCGACGAGTTGGCTCAGAGGAAGTCGAAAGCAAAACTGTTGACATTGCATCACCTGGGAAAGAGATTCAGAGTGTTCTCCATCACCTGGGAATGACATAACCCCGTCGTGGGAGGTGTGGAAAGCCCTTGAAAGGATTTGGTTGGTCCCAGTTGTGTCATGCGCCATGTCCCCTGCACACTGGTCAACTGGATAAACATCAGTGTCTGAGCCTGAGGCAGCACGGCAAACCCATTTTGGCTGGTGTGCTGCATCCGGTGTGTGTGGTGCCTCGTCAAAATCGTCAAGGGGAATTGGCACCCAAAGCCCTTGAAGTGTCCCCAAGAATCTGTTGTCCCTGTTTCCCACACTGCCCCCCCTGTCGGAGGTGCTGCCTGACCCTCTGTTTTCCAAGGCGCTTGCTGGGGTCTTCCCCGTCGGTGCTGGGGCGCTTGAGAAGGCCATGGAGCTGATTTCGCTGCTCTTCAGTCAGTGAAATGCCCAAACTCGTGACAAAAGATTCTACTGCGTGGGAATGGGTGCCTCCTCAGGTGTATCCGGCTTGAGGGCTTCAGGGTGCGGTGTTTGGTTGACCAGCTTCATATATTGGTCCGAGAGCCCCTTGAGCTTTTGCTGCCCCTCATTGAGCTTGCAGCATAGCTGCATATTGGCTCTTCACCTGATCCAGCTTGGTCTGCAGTTGGGTTTTGCGGATGGACTGGGTCTTCAATTGCGTAACCTGCAGCTCAAGCTGTTGCACAATGTCTTCCTCAGTTTGTGGCAATGGTTCGGTTAACCGAATTACCACTTCCTGGACCTCTGGTGGTAGGGCCGACATGTGAGTCTTCAAGATGTCTGTCAAAGCCGGCTCCTCTGGGGGTTGTGGTCCGAGTCCCACGGCCTGTAGCTTGTGCTGAATGTCTTCAGGGATGACATCCCACGTGGCTGTGAGAAGTTCAGCTGCCGTTTGCTGGTCTTTGGGTTTGCGTAGTGGCTTGGGTCTGCTAAGACCGGGTGGTGAGTCCGTCAAAGCCTTTTTTGGCCACGTCGTGTTCCTGGTGGTGTGTGGTGCTCGGCCTCCATGTCCTTGTCCTTTGCCCTTTCCTGTGGTGGCGGCGCCAGTGGTCCACCATGTACCGCACCGTCTGCATCTCGTACCTGGTTGGAGCTTGTCTTGCCATATCCAGTTCCTGCAAGAGCTGTGACTGCAGACAGTGCACGTCCTGCACCAGGTGGAAGTTTTGGACGGCGTCATAGGTCAGGATCCTGTGTGGCAGATAAGGTCAAGGAGGCAAGGTGTTTGGCGCAGTCCACGAAGTGGCCTGAGGAGTCTTCAGGGATGTAGCACCAGTCTGGTTCACGAGATCCCGCTGGTTGAGGTTCCGATGTGGTAGATCACCTGGTAGTGATGCCTGTGACCTTCTCCCCCGCTATGACGAGCAAAGGAAAAGGTACAGGTGGAGCACAATGGCGGTGATGCCAAGGGAACCCTCAATGTATCAAATGGTGCAACGCCGCGGACGCCGCGGGCTGCACACTAGCTGGTCTTTATGGGGGCTGCCAGCTTGAGACCTCGAAACCTCGAGCCATGTGTGTATGTATGTATGGATGGATGGATGGATGTATGGATGTATGGACGTATGCATGTATGTATGGATGTATGCATGTATGTATGCATGTATGCATGTATGTATGTATGTATGTACATGGATGCATGCGTGCATGGATGTATGGATGTGTGTGTATGTCTGTATGTCTGTCTGTGTGTCTGTCTGTCTGTACGTACGTACGTATGTCTGTATATATGTATATATGTATGTATATTACACAGTAGTCTGTAGTCATGATGTTCATACACTATTGGTATTTACAGTAAAGCTTCTTTGTTTGCAGTTAAAAACAAAGAGAACTAACAAAGTTGCGATGCCTCGAGCATCAAAACATGGCAATTAAACACAAGCCGCAAGCCCTTCCTGTATTCTTGTCGTCGTGCCTTGGCAGCTCTTCCATGCAGATCAAACACTAGCCTCAGTAGCTTGTTCCATCGCAAGAACTTGTTATACTTCCAACAGTGGAATGAATTAAAAATAAATTACTTTACTTCGAGTGATCCTCACCATGACATTTCAATCATTTGTCTTGATGCCATAGTGAGGAGCATGTTGCCATAGTCGTCAGTATTGTAGTTCTCGATGTTGCTTGTGGGTCCTCGGGTTGTGTGCTGTGGTTGTGTGCTGTGTTGTGGTTGTGGTTGTGTTTGTGGTTGTGTGTTTGTGGTTGTGTTTGTGGTTGTGTGTTTGTGGTTGTGTGTTTGTGGTAGTGGTAGTGGTTGTGATTGTGTGTTTGTAGTTGTGGTTGTGGTTGCGGTTGTGTCTTTGTGATTGTGTGTTTGTAGTTGTGGTTGTGGTTGTGTCTTTGTGATTTTGTGTTTGTAGGTGTGTTTGCGGTTGTGTGTTTGTGGATTTGTGGATGTGTTTGTGGTTGTGTTTGTGGTAGTGGTTGTGATTATGTGTTTGTAGTTGTGGTTGTGGTTGTGTCTTTGTGATTATATATGTGTTTGTAGTTGTGGTAGTGGTTGTGGTTGTGTCTTTGTGGTTGTGTGTTTGTACTTGTGGTTGTGGTTGTGTGTTTGTGGTTGTGTGTTTGTGGTTGTGTTTGTGGATGTGTTTGTGGTTGTGTTTGTGGTTGTGTGTTTGTGTGTGTGTGTTTGTGGTTGTGTGTTGTGTGTATGTTTGTGGTTGTGTGTTTGTGATTGTGTCTTTGTAGTTGTGTTTGTAGTTGTGTGTTT